AGGGGGTGGGGCAGGTGGGGGAAGGGAGAAGTATACTCCATGCTGAACAGGTAGCATGACTCTGGGCTCATCCCAAGGCCCTGAGATCATGACCTGAGCTGAAGTCAGACTCTTAACCCACTGTCACCCAGGCGCCCCTCTTGCTGTTTTTAATTCATAAACTTCCTTATAGTCAAAAAATGTAATGGTTTTTAGGGAGGAAGAAATTTCCTTATTTCCTCCAAAATTCTTCCAACTGGCTTAAGAATTTAATTGACATGAGACAGATTAATGGTAGAAAAAACCCTACAAAGTTTTATTACATAGATACGGAGGCCCAGTGAGGAATTTGAGACCCAAAGAAATGACCAAGGCAGGCAGGTTTTTGTTGTTGTTGTTAGTTGGGGGGGGGTGGGGAGGGCAGTTTTTATACATTTTAGACAAAGACAATAATGCGTGAGAAATTGACAGGATAGAGAAAACCGGTGTATGGGAGCTTTAAATCTCAGGAATTCTAAGTGGAATTTGGGCTGAGGTTGTAGGTTAGTAAAAAAGCCACAAGGTTTATTTCCAGCTTTCTGAGCTTTGAAGTCCCATCTGTGTAGCTAAGGATGTCTTTTTACTTTTTACTAGGGGTGAAGGGGACTGGGGGGTACAGGCTTCCAGTTATGGAGAATAAGTCACAGGAATAAAAGGCACAGCATAGGGAATATCGCCGATGGTGCTGTAAGCCCTTTGTACTCGTACCGTGAGACTGACAGACAAGAGCTACCCCTGTGGTGAGCATAGCTTACTGTGTAGGGTTGGCAGATTACTGTGTTGTGCACCTGAAACTAACGTAACATTGGGTGTCATCTATACTCAAAACATTTGGGTCACCCAGTATTCTCCCAGTTGACCCCTGGCACACCCAGGGATGTCCCTAGAGCCCAGTCCCATTTTGACTCTATAAAAGGTTAATGTATTAACATTTTACCTCACTTCTACCTTGAAGTTGTTTTATTTTTAAAATGTAAAACTTCATACATTTTTTTTTAAAATGAAAATCCAAAAGTTATTAGACAAGTCAGTCATACAAAGGTGTTTACAGCAGTGATGAGCGAAGTGGTAACATTCCCAGTGTAAAATGCCGCACAGTCAAATCACAACTTGGGTCTTCAGTGGTTCAAGTGTTTTATCCCACGCCATAAGGTGTGGTCAGCTTTAAAATAAAATTCATTTTCTGGATATTCTGTCCCCAGTCAAGGTCTTCTTTACGCCCTCAGCTCACACAACAGGAAAACTAGCCATGGTGGCGATTCCACAGTGGTTGTCCCGGTCCTTGGCCAACAGCATGTAGCCCTGCGTGCCCCAGTTTGTACCCCAGCTGGAAGGAGACAGGGTTTGCCATTTCTTACAAACAATCCAACACATTTCTTTTCACGAACAATCACACCTGATACTGAGGAGTGCACCAGAGGCCAAGACAGATTCAGGAAGAACCTTTCACAGAAGTGCAAAATGAGAGGCAGGAAAAGGAAACTCTTGGGGTCAGATGTGTTTCAGAAATAAGAAAATTTTCAAGTTGAGGAATGCAATGGTAGCGAAACTACAGCAGGAACCTAGCAAGCTATTGGTGTCATCACATGAATTGTCTCTGTTCCCCTTCAGTGGGATAAACACTTTTGGGATTTCAGAAGTATGTTCAGGGTTTGAGGATCTGCAGCTCAACGTTCATTCCAAAAAGGACTCCCTTTTCAATTTCAAAGATAAGTATTTTTTTACTCTTTATACCTGTTCTTGACAATCCAATATTTTTGGTTATCCGATTCTGCTCCTTCAAAGCCATAGCCAACCACCAGAACACCATGATTCAGGCTTTCACTGCTGCAATTTGGATCATAATAAATGCCTGGAAAAGTAAAATTCAATGCTGAGGTGGAACATCCAAGTGCCATGATAACGTGTGACAATAACCTAGTAACCACAGTAAAGGAGGCAGCTCAAAATTCAGTTGTGATATAAATCCAGATAAGATTTAGAAATCAGATCTTTTTGTTTAGGTGGGTTAGGGATTTCGGACATCATCTAATATTAGCAGAAATACGCACTGTCACCACCTCTTTTGTAAAGAACAGTGAAGGGGCATAAAAGACCACTTGTTGAAACTTGGTCATTCTACCATGTGATGTCAGCCTAAGGAAGCAGCAGAGAACACAAAATTACTTGAGCCAAGGGTTTCTTTCCAATGTTGATTTCAGTAGTAAAATTCCTTGGAAATTTTCAAGGCCCAACAGTTGGAACAAAGTAAAGTAAGCTATACCAGTCAAGTTATGTAGTCATTTAAATATATTTATGAAGTGCTTAAAATCATGGGGATATGGGTCAAGTCATGTCAAATGGTGACAATAGGAACAAGGATTAATATACAGAATGAGCCGCTATGCTAAATCCACACTCTCCTGATTTCCACATAGTTAGAGTCAATCTTGCTGTATGTCAGGCTGGTTACCCATTTTTTCTGCCCAATTTTCTATGTAGACCAACGCTTACCTTTTTTATAGAACTGGAAGGAATCCGGGCTTGAATCTACAGCAGCAGAGACCGGCCCCACAGTTGCCACTGTGGTCATAAGACCATCCTCCTTGTTTAAGACGTGCCAGAAGGTGGTCACATTGGCAGCAGATTTCTCAGGCCTGTATTTGCAGGATTCACTCTTTCAAAGGGAAAGGGGAAGGGACTTGATTATTACCATCCACTTCCTGGGGAACATGAGCTCAAGAGAGTTTGCAGCTGAGTGATTCCCAAGTCAAGTTTGTTATAAAGCATCTCAAGATGCAAATTGTGATTGATTGTTTTGAAATTGGGAAATTAGCAGATATCTATTCAATGAGACACAGTTTTGGTCCACTTGTTCATAGATTTTTCACTCTGGAGATCTGTGCTATATATAAAATGGTATTTGTGTTGCTGTGTGACCTAGAAGTAGGAACAGCTATATGGTAACCCTCTAGGCAGAGAACTGTGCCAGGCTAATACATTTTAATGACAGTTCTTACCATTTGCAGATACAGAGCCTACAATCTAAAATGAGTATTCTAAACGTAGTCTCTGTTTTTACCGAATATGCTCAACTTTGATAGAAGATGAGGAACTCCACTTACCCTTGCAAGATACGGATAGGATTCCTCTGAGTCCAGGCCTCCGTTGTCCTTCACATACTGGAAGGCATAATCCATCAGGCCTCCACGGCAGCCCTCATTGCCTTGAGACCGAGAGCAGTCCAGCAGGTTCTGCTCACTCAGTGACACGAGTTTTCCAGTTTTCCGGAACATCTGTCCTTCGAGAGCACCAGTTGCACTAAAAGCCCAACAAGATTGACACTGACCCTGAAAACAAAATGAAAAAGCTTTTAGTCTACAAAATTAATAGCAAGACTTTGACAACAGCCCTTAGATCTGAAATCTCTTTCAAAACATAACAAACTGTATACGGTTCCTCAACTTCCATAGCAAGGACACTGGTTCCTTTTGGCTTTACTCTTGGAGAGGGACCTGCTGAATACTGTCTCACCTGATCCTTCACAGGGGTTACGTAGCCTTTCTCTCTCCAGTCCACAGAGGAGGGGGTCTCAGCAAAGAGAGGTGCTCGGAACACGTTCCCTTCTTCATGCTTCTGAATTTTAAGGTCATTTAACACCTGTTTGAATTCTTCACTGGTCTTCAAGGAAAAGGAAATAGAATGTTGACAAGCAGCAGATTTTTTGGTAAAGTACTGAGGACAGGACGCATGAAACATTCAGCAATCCATGCCACCCTCACCAGGTCACCAAAGGCGTTCATTGCCATCGTGAAGCTGTGTTTCCCTTGGCTGTATTCCTGATTGTGCCGTTCAATCATTTGCATATTCTTTGCCCACACTGCTCTCCTCCATCCTTCTTCATTCTGCAGAAAAACATATAACCGATCATCTTTATTTCTATTTAAAACCAACTCACCTGCACCAAACGGATGCGCTGACAGAGAGGAGGGGAAACCCTGACCAGGGCTGCGCTGACGCTCCGGGAGCTGCTCTCCAGCAACCACGCAGCCGGACATACGCCCCCGCCGTTGTGCAGTCACGGTGCCCCGCTTACCGCCTTGGTTAGAGCGGCCTCAAGCAGCTACTCTCTGCTGTGAGCTCGCACCAGCACAGAACATTCCCTGGGGGTCTCACTGGACACCGCAGCGGTTACCAACCTCGTCATACAGCTTCCCGTGCGCCGCCTTCCACCGGGACCAGTGCGCATCTAAGCTCTGGTCGGCTTCTGGAGCAGCTGTGGTTGTTCCCAAGCAAAGGGCAGCCAGGAGGAGAGAAGGATGCATGTTCCAAAACCTAGGAAGGGAAAACACATGGGTTTCTGCTTAGACCAAACCACCTAAAAAGCCATCCTTCCTTCTGAGATGTTAGAACCGCTATGGTAGAGCAAAAAGATTGCATTTATCCTCCCAAGTGTTTCCATGAGGCTGTGAGGAAGACTAAGGATGTGACACGTCCTGGGGGCCTGCTGCCCTGCTCCCTGCCCTGCGACTCTCCTGCTGCTTCCAGAGCATGTAGATGGCAATGCAGGGAGTGACGGGCCCTGATTCTGATGTGTGGGGGTCAAGCTGCCATGCCTGGAGGGGCCAGGCCCTGGAAGAGTGCCTCCTGGGAACCCCAAACCCCTGGCCCCCAAGGCTGGTATCCCCCCGTGTTTTCAAGGGTGACCCCTCCCTTCAGGCCTGGGTGGGGATCTCACCTGAGGCAGGTGCAGTGGTGCAGGCTCAGTCACAGGTGCAGGTCAGGGGGTATCCAGCAGGCCTGGTGATGGGTGGGAAGCTGCCCATTTAAGCCTGGGGTTTGGCCCTGCCAGCCCTGCCCCTGACACCTACCTGCACTGCAATTGGCTAAGCCAGCCTGTGGGTGGGGTCTCTGTGCCCTGGAGCTCTGGGGCCCTGGGGCATGTGATGGCTGGGTCCCTACTTGTCCCAGAGGAGGTTGTGCCTGCCTCAGTGGACCCAGGGAAGTCAAGCAAGAGGACTAGGGAAAGCCCGGTAGAGGGGCCCGTGCCTCCTGGGGACCCAGATCAACTAATTAGCAGGAGTTTATGTGTTGGCAGGTGTTCATAAAAGAAGCTCACAGGGAGCCCCAAGTGGGTTTCCAGCGTCACCCTGCGTATCCTTTAGTCTTAGAGTTTTTGGTTAAAATCTCCCCGAGGGCTGAGAACAGGATAATCTAGCCTAGGGGTGGCTCCTGTTTATTCCAAGCAAAGGTGGGGCAGGTGGAGGAAGCAGAGCCCACAGGGGGATGTGTTATCACTGTTTCAGGATGGGATGCCTCTAAATTTTGGAAAATCTGGAAAGGACTGGCAATTCCCCAAACAGGGGACGCGCTGTGCAAGGCTCAAGTGCTTTCAAGGAAAGGGACTGATAGGAAGGGTGTCCAGAGAAGGTTTGGCATTTTGTAATGCTCCTGTCCTGACTTCCCCAGCAGGGATTCTTCTTCCCTCTCAAGCCTTTCTCAAAACAACAGAAATGATTTATTTCCAGAAAAATATGGTTTAACAAAAGGAGGAAAGATGGAATGCAGAAACTGCTTTTACCTGCCCACTCTCTGTGTTATGGATTATTATGTTTCTTAGTATCAAACGTGCTTATCTTGAGATTTAATTTTAGAAGTTTTAGAAAAACAGCTATCCTAAGCAAAAGAAAAAAAAAAAAGTGTTCATCAGGAGACCATGAATTTTCCCTCTGATGACCAGTTTTGCTCTCCTTAGGAACACGATTCCACACGTCTAGACAGTGGGTCACAGCCTCCTTCTCTGGACCCATGCCCATGAGACCCCCCGTGATCCTCCTCACACCAGGTCTCCAGCACTTCTCTGCTCGGGGAGGGCAGGGGTCAAAGGGATTCCATACAGCGGCTGGGAGTCAGGGGGGCCAACACGGACATTCCGCAGCTCATGGCTGCCCGCCCCCCCGGCAGGCTCCCCAGTGCCCTCAGCCTCAGTTTCCTCATGGAGGACGTGGGGCAGTGATTCAGTTTTCCTCAGACGAGTCTTGTGGACTGAATGCACTACATGGCAGGCATTAACACAGAGGAGGGCTCATTCCATACTGCTTTCTTGTGAGGTCAAAGAGAAAATCCTTCCAAAGGTCTTGCCTAATTCAGAAAATATTTACTCAAGAATTTGATACATAGGCCATCCCTACTTATTTCTTTACTTCCTGGGAGCCAGGTTACCAGATAGTGAAATGAACCATAAAGTATAGGTAAGTAAGCCTATATGTTAAAAAGCCAAGCTACATCTGGTTATCATTCTTAAACTATGCTCCCAAACTGATAAATTAGACACACCTATCCTAGGACTATGCCCACAGAACCTAAAATACAATCTACGGTCTCACGTTTGACCCATTATGCTAGAGATAATATCACATTTTCAATCACAGATAGCTTAGTTTGCCTATTAGAATTTAGGAGGTCATTCGAGGGCTAAGGCGGCTTTCTCTGAAAGCCGTGGAGATTACAGGGAGCTGCATTTCATACCCGGCAGCATGGATGACATTGACGAGGTGCAACCCTGAGTGTGCGTGAACATGTGGGGTCACGGGAACTCTCAGCATTACTAGTGCTGGTGCAAATGGTAAGCCTCTCTGGGCAGGGGCTCCCCAGCTTCTTCTAATGGTAACTACACACCTGACACCCAACTCAGCAATTCTAGTGTCAGACGTCTACCCAAGTGAGAATGTTCACAGCAGCTTTATGCATAACAACTTCCAACTGGAAAGCACAGGAGAATGAAGAAACACACCGTAGTACATTCATACTCAACAATTTAAAAAGAACAAGCTTTCTCTACATGCACCAACGTAGACGATTCTTAAAAACACTATGTCAGGGGGCGCCTGGGTGGCTCAGTCGGTTAAGCACCCAACTCATGATCTCGGCTCAGGTCATGATCTCAGGGTTGTGAGATCGAGCCCCATGTCGGGCTCCACACTGGGCATGGAGCCCGCTCTTTCCCTCTCCCTCTGCCCCCCCCCAAAATTAAAAATACCATGTCAAGCAAAAGAAGGTACATATTAAAAAGTACATATAATTGTATTATATGAAGTTCAAAAGGCAAAACTAATCTGTGGTGATAGATAGCAGAACAGTGGTCTTGCAGGGGGATTATTGTCTGGAAAGGGGCATAAGAAAACTCATTAGAATGTTGGGAAATTCTATATCTTGATCTGGGGGGTAGTTCCACAGGTGCCTACATTCTCCAAAACTTACTCAGCTATATACTTAAGACCTATTAATTTTACTCTATGTAAAATTCTACCTCAATAGAAACTTTGTTAGGGTAAAATTTGAGATCAAGGCAAAAAAAGTTACATTGTAAAAAATGGAAATCTGTATCAGGATATTGAGCAGATTCCTGCCTTTTCTCTGAAAAACAAAACAAAACAAAACAAAAACAAATCTGTGGAAAGTAGTCAAGAATCTTTCCATTGGCCCTAGAGCTGTGCCCCCGGTAAGACTGTCAACATCTGTGCTTGTTGACGTGGTGGAAATAAAAAGCGATGGCAGGTCTCCCCGTGAAGACAGCTGGGAGAGGGAAGCCTGAGCTCTGGCTTCTCCATGTCGCCGGCACCTGCAGCCTGGCTTCAGGCAAGGCCACAGGGACAGCTGCTCCAGTGGACAGAGCGTCCCGAGCTCAGGATGAGCTGCCGGGAAGTCTGTTCCCCCATTGCGTCTTGCTTTCTTCTTCTGTAAATTATTCCAAAGCACTCAGCTGACACAGGATTTAAATACCATTCTTTCGTCTTTAAAGCCAAGGGAGAACCATTAGTAACCAATGTCACACTTTATTTGTAAAACAATAAATGTTTTACTAGGTCCTTAGAGAGAATATCACATTTTACTTAGCCCGTGTTTCTAAAGCGGAGAGTTAGAACATCTCCCAGGGAGGCCTCTGATGGGAAGGAGCAAAAGAGGGGAAGACGAGGGAACCCACTTTCCTTCAGGGGAAAAGCTGCTTTGTTCTTCTGTATTTGACTTTTCTGTTTGGAAAGCCTGTTTATGTGAGGGACCTCCTCGTTTCTACTAAACTCTGTGCCCCAGTCATTTCATACAAAATAAAAACTGCAAGCGTGCTTGCTTTTAAGGATTTACAATATGTTTATGCATCTTGGGGAAATCTTTCTTTAAAAATTTATTACTTCAGTCAGCCATTTATTGAGGGTAGTCATCTGGTTCAGTACTCCAAATTATGGAGACTATGAGTCCTTTAAAAATTCACATTTTTGGGATGCCTGGGTGGCTCAGTTGGTTAAGCGTCTGCCTTGGACTCAGGTCATGATCCCAGGGTCCTGGGATTGAGCCCCGCATCGGGCTCCCTACTCAGCACAGAGCCTGCTTCTCCCTCTGCCGCTCCCTCTGCTTGTGCTCTCTTGCTCTCTCTCTGTCAAATAAATGAGTAAAATCTTTAAAAAAAATTTCACACTTTTAAATTTTATATCACATCCATTATAATTTCCAAATATTTCACATCTTCTAGGTAGCACCAGAATGATCCATTAGTAGAAGAAAAAAAAAAATCATTTCCAGGCCATTTAACAAGAAGTAGATGAGATATTCACAGTGACCACTTGTGACGTCACTCTAGCAGGGAACATCCCTCACCCTCTATGCAATATAGGCAGGAAATGTTTGGTTTTGCATGGTGTAAAGCCATAACTGGTTTCTGATTAATTGTCCAGGACTGTTGGGCTACTTAGTCTTTCACGGTGTTAGCACTGGACTCGTTGTCCTTTTATCCCATTCTGAAGGACACCTTCACCGTCCTCAGAATCTTTGTGTCCGGCATTCGCGCTACAGGCCCTGAATAGCATTTCCAGGCTCACCTCTCACTCCCCGCCGTGAACAGTGCGCTCCAGACACATTACTCTCATGACCTGATGTTGCTCTGAGGAGCTCTCCTTGACCACGCAGCGCCTTCCACCTGCAATGCTCTTCCTTCCCATCCCACCTCTTTAAATGTCTGGTGAAATCCTGCTCTTCCCTCCAGTCCCTTCTGAGAAGCCAGTAAATGGATTTCCTCTTTGTGTTTCCACAGCTTCTGGACCTTAAAGCCATCAGGGTGCCTGTTTTATAATTTTTGTGTTTTATAATTTTTTGGTAACCTTGCCAGGCTGAGCTCCTCAAGCTCATGGTCATGTCTACTACACCATGCCTGCCTGTCTGCCTTACTTGCAGCACCTGCTGACCCATTATCTCAATGACTGGGTCAGCAGGGGCTTGAATAATGAGTAAGGTCACGTGCTGCACTAAAAATATGGGCCGCAGAGCCAAATGAAGACTTCTAATTGCTTTAGATTTTAACATTTCTTCTAATATGCGAAGTACATCCATACATAAAGTTGCTCTCAATTTGGTCACATTACAAGTGAGTAAATGGAGTGGAAATATTCACATCTATGTTTACATCTTTTTCTGTGTCTTTTTCTTTTTTTTCTTTTTTTTTAATAAAGATTTTATTTATTTATTTGACAGAGAGAGACACAGC